TTATTATACAATTACAAAATGAAAATTTGTTTAAGTGGTGACCTTAATGCCATATTTATTTTCACAAAAAATGTTAATTATTAATTGTTATCCTTTCTATTTTACAGTGGCGATATGATGAAGGCAACTCATCTCAGTCATAATACTTATATTACTTTTAACATTATACAATTAAAGAAAAAGTACTGCTTTTAACTTAAACCTCATGTATAACAAGTAGATTACACATTATATAAAAATTAATTAAATTAAAACATAATAAATGCATAATTTTTAAAACGTATTAAGTTTGCACTACACCTCCTTCAAGAAAAAGTTAAATTACATTTTCTTTCTTTTGAGTCATAATCTTAATTATTTATTTTTCTAATTGAACTGTCAAATCTTAAAATCATAAAACTACAATTCTAATATAGGTAGTATATTCATTTATTTTAACATTTATTGTATAAGTAGGTAGTAGTAGTAGTAGGTATTATATTTATGTATATGAGTCATTCTACGTTAAAAGATACTTTTGATGTCCACGATAAAAATCACATATTTTTGAAAATTTGTTTGATATATCTTTATTATCTCTAAAAACTCACCATCTTCTATAAGGCCACTTAAATTCATTAATTAAATTTACTTAATTTAGTCACAATAGTATGTTAAACATGAACAATGTATCTCCCCTGGTCTGCCCCCTAACTGACTCTGTTCGTGATTCAGCATATTTAAAAACATAGAAATTTTATAATAATTCAAAATTATTTATTAAAAAAAATAGAATAAATAAATCATTATTATTATCAAACAAATAAAATTATGTAAATATTTTTTCTCATAAAAAATATTACCTCCACACTTGTCCTACATATATTTTGTGTCTCGTTCCCTGGCTTTTTGCATTCCTTTAAAAACGGCATCTGATAGAAAACTTATCCACAGAAATGCTTCGAGAAAAAGGGTCAACTTTTTCATACAATTTTGCGTAAATAATTATGAGTGATTCCTTTATAACTTCTATATTTATTTTGTCTTATAATTTCTGCATCTTTTTAATGCCTAAAGACTCATTTTATTTATTAGATAATACGTCAAGATACATTTTATGCGTAAGTATACAATATAAAAACACTACTAAAAAAAGAGTCAGCTAATTTGACAATTAGCTGACAAAAAGTTGACCCGTTTTGAAGCTCGATGCTCTATTGATATAATCTTAGAGGTAAAATAATATTATGTACGTTTCCTTACTCTCAATCACTTAATATAGAAAAAATAAGTTCATACATAATATTAATAATTTTATTTATACATTGACATATAATTTTAATGGTATTTTATTTTTCAATAATAACAAATTTGTTACAAATTTTTACTTGACTGAAGTTAAAATCTTATCTCCTTAAAAATAAATAAGACTATAGCTAATTTACTAACTTATAATCTTAAATTATATAGAAAGGGTCTCCCTTACATTATATTAGTAGAGTATCTCCATACAAATGCTTCGAATAAAGTGAGTCAACTTTTTTATACAAATATGTATGTCAGTGTTACCAGATTATTTATATAAATTAAAAATATAAATGGCTCGAGAAAATAGATCCTTGAGGTACACCCATTCGCACAAGTGACCCGTTAGATGTACGTATTAATAGTTCCTTACGGTCATAGCACGACTTGAAGTGTTATACATTTGGTATAGTCCTCTGCCGATACTGGGTAGCTTTCTATCAAAGCACGTGGCTTTGAATCTTGTCTGTCCATAAAGGCTTTTAGGGAGTCGGTTGTTTTGGTAAATAGGCGTCTTTGTATTGAGCGTTGTTTTAATTTTGCGTCCATTAGGAATTATATGATCGCAACGTATTAAATATTGGTATTTGGGGAGTCGTAAAGCTCATATATTATCTATAATCACAAAATAATACAAAAAATAAAACACCAGCTATATAAGCTTTACAACAATAATATCTTTATTTTTATCAGATGATAATATGTAGACACATTTTAAACATTTATAAATGACCAGTTATAATTCTAATACATAGTTCACTTTAACTTCGTAGTACGTTGCGTATATGGGATCATTCTGTATATACGCAGCAATCATATGTATATATTTTTATTGCACTACAACATACAGTAATAATAACAATTAGAAACGATGTAAGTAAAGGTGAACTTATCTCTAAAAGATTTTTTTTCCAGTTAACCTTCAACTGTTTCTTAATAACAGCGATCTCAATAATCCTAATACTAGACACAAAAGCAAACTTGCTGTTTCAAAATACCTTTTTGAAAAAGTCAGTAGATCTTTTATGGGAATGGGCATTAAATATTAGAATAACATATCGAGTGATATTTTAAATTTATCAATTTTACATCTTGCACACTACACAGGATCTTGGAAAAAAATAATACCAAAACGTGCAGAATTACTTCAGTTTAAATGTTGTAAAGGTTTTTAAATTCTTTGAGTAGATTTTGAATTATTCGTGAAACAGTGATTTTTCTTGTTTTTATACACTTAAATATACCTCGTTGACCCCATTTTCCAAGGTGGACTTTATTTTAAAATGCCATTTTAATTTAAACATATGTAGTTGAATTTGAAGCACTTTTCATTTATTTTTGTATTTAAATATATATTATCTTGTAAAATATTACATATTGAATACTATAACAAACAACTTTCTGTCACAGCGCTGTATCAAAAACTACTAATGCTGTAGATTTGAAATTTGAGACAGATTTAGGAATTATTGACTTACGCATATTACAATGGAAATAATTGAAAAAAATATTTTTTTTATATTCGCTAGGGGATTTGGACGAAATTCTCAAAATTTCAAAATTGATCTACTGCTGTAGAAAATTTGAACAAGTGAGGTATCTTAACAAAATTATAGTGCTTTATTTGTACATTTAAAAAAAAAATATCTAAAAAATATTTCCCCTTTCATTTCAAAAGTTTGCGATCTTTAAAATCTGAAATACAGTCTATAACTATTCCAAATTTTAAACCAATAACATTTGTAGTTTCAAATTTAAAAAGCTTTGATATACGAAAGAACAGATAAAGTTGCACCAAAAATGTTTCTTTGACACTAATCCCTAAAAACGGATTTGCAAAAATAGTGACATCTGTAGATACATAATAACTTGACATATTTATTTATAAATAATGTAAGTTTTATGAATTGTAAAATTTATGTCTTTATAACTTTATACATATATTTGATAGTTCAATATCTTCCAAGACGTGTCGTTTGTACCCTTTTAGCATAGAACTCTAAAACCGGATTTACAAAAATAGTAACATCTGAAGATACATAGTAACTTTACATATTTAGTTATAAATAATATAAGCTTTTATCTTGTAAAATATTACATATTGAATACTATAACGAACAATAATACAACAACATGTTAACAATATAACGTAGAGGTACATATATATTACCATTCCAAAAAGGTACAAGATACCCTTATGGTGCGACATTCTGTCACAGCGCTGTATCAAAAACTACTAATGCTATAGATTTGAAATTTGGGACAGATTTAGGAATTATTGACTTACGCATATTACAATGGAAATAATTAAAAAATATTTTTTTTGTCTTTGCTAGGGGATTTAGAAGAAATACTCAAAATTTCAAAATTGATCTACTGCTGTAGTAAATTTGAACAAGTGAGGTATCTTAACAAAATTATAGTGCTTTATTTGTACATTTTAAAAAATATTAAAAAAATTATTTCCCCTTTCATTTTAAAAGTTTGTGATGTTTAAAATCTGAAATACAGTCTATAACTACTCCAAATTTTAAACCAATAACATTTGTAGTTTCAAATTTAAAAACCTTTAATATACGAAAGAACAGATAAAGTTGCACCAAAAATGTTTCTTTGACACTAATCCCTAAAAACGGATTTGCAAAAATAGTGACATCTGTAGATACATAATAACTTGACATATTTATTTATAAATAATGTAAGTTTTATGAATTGTAAAATTTATGCCTTTATAACTTTATACATATATTTGATAGTTCAATATCTTCCAAGACGTGTCGTTTGTACCCTTTTAGCATAGAACTCTAAAACCGGATTTACAAAAATAGTAACATCTGAAGGTACATAGTAACTTTACATATTTAGTTATAAATAATATAAGCTTTTATCTTGTAAAATATTACATATTGAATACTATAACGAACAATAATACAACAACATGTTAACAATATAACGTAGAGGTACAGGTAGAGTACCATTCCAGAAAGGTACAAGATACCCTTATGGTGCGACATTCTGTCACAGCGCTGTATCAAAAACTACTAATGCTGTAGATTTGAAATTTGGGACAGATTTAGGAATTATTGACTTACGCATATTACAATGGAAATAATTGAATTTTTTTTTTATCATTGCTAGGGGATTTAGAAGAAATACTCAAAATTTCAAAATTGATCTACTGCTGTAGTAAATTTGAACAAGTGAGGTATCTTAACAAAACTATAGTGCTTTATTTGTACATTTAAAAAAAATATTTAAAAAACATTTCCCCTTTCATTTCAAAAGTTTGCGAGCTTTAAAATCTGAAATACAGTCTATAACTATTCCAAATTTTAAACCAATAACATTTGTAGTATCAAATTTAAAAAAAGCTTTGATATATGAAAGAACAGATAAAGTTGCACCAAAAATGTTTCTTTGACACTAATCCCTAAAAACCGATTTGCAAAAATAGTGACATCTGTAGATACATAGTAACTTTATACATATATTTGATAGTTCAATATCTTCCAAGACGTGTCGTTTGTACCCTTTTAGCATAGAACTCTAAAACCGGATTTACAAAAATAGTAACATCTGAAGATACATAGTAACTTTACATATTTAGTTATAAATAATATAAGCTTCATGAATTGTTAAGTTCATGTCTTTACGATTTTATACATTTGATAGTTCAATATCTTACTAAGATGTTTGTACTATTTTGACACATAACTCCAAAAACAGATTTACAAAAATAGTGGCATTTGAAAATAAATAGTATATCTTTATGATCTCATACATTCGATAATTGAATATCTTCCAAGACGTGTTGTTTGTACCATTTTGGCACAGAACTCTACAACCGGATTCACAAAAATACTGACATCTGAAAATACATAATAACTTAACATATTAATTTATAAATAATGTAAGGCTTATGAATTGTTGAATTCATGTCTTTATGATCTTATACATTTGATAATTTAATTAATTTATTTATTCGTTTTTCTAAAAATGACAAGCAGTGGTGTTTTTAAGTATTAAAAAAATATGATTATATTATATTATGACACGCACATAAACACATGTAACAGTTATATATTTGTTTTGAGAGTTTGTTAAGGATGCATAGGTACTCGAAATGCTTTTTTGAATTAAGGTTTTAGGTACAATTTTGAACTATTTAGTCTATAACTCTTTGCTCAATATTATATATTGTTTTATTCATAGTTGCAATATACCCTTTATATTACTTATACAGTGTTTAAGGTACAAATTGGTAAAAGATGAAACAGTGAATTCAAACCATTCTTCTGAACTGAAAACCAGTAAATTTTTTTTCCAGAAATAAAAAAAATCTTATTTTTTTCCATTTAAAAACCATGTAATCTATAATATTATGTCATAATAAACAGAATTAATAATATTTTATAGTGAAATACTGTGTGTGTGCAATGTAATACACGTATTAAATTCATACCGCGACGCGCGGAATTAGCTGTGTAAGCTCAACGCCCCAAGCGTATGAATATGAAAACTATCTACGAAGAAGCGCTACTGAGCATGCGTTGTAGCTATCACGTGTCGTGTGCATCGTAAAATTTTGAATACATTGCGCGCCGTCAATACTAAGAATTGTTAATTATATGACTGTGATACATTTCCGACAAGAAGATAATCTGCCATATGATTCAGACCATTCATCTGAATCAGCTCTCTTGGCCAACCTGTCCTTTCCACCCTGTATATATAATAGTAAAATTTTGTAAATCAATATATAATAATATTATATATTATAATGCATACAAAAAAAATTAGTATAATTAGGTGGGTAGTGTAAGACGAAGTAAGACATTTGATAATTTAATATTTTACTTTACTAGTATTGAATTAGCAAGTTTGTGTCTCACTACATGGTGGCAGCGGTTAAAAGAATAAACACGGTTACAGTATTATAATTAAAAACTAGTGTAAAGAAAATTAAGTTCATTGCCTGTAGTCATGAATGTTACGGACTGAACTCTCTCGGACTCTCCTTACACATTTACTAATAATAACATTGTACACATTACATTTAACGATACTTATATATCTGTTATACAATAAACAGTGATATCATATTTAAAATATTTAGTACATCGAAAAAAGTATCCATAAAATATTAAATTTATATATAAATATACATCTATATAACATCCATATAAATATACATTAAAGAGATACATCTATTTAGTGGAAGGTAGTATTTCCTCATGTAGTACAACTGTAAATATGAGTCGTTCATTGTGCTCTCCAGAAAGCACTTTATAAGATACTTCCTCCTACATTTCTGGAACAGCGACTTGTCTGTGGACTCTTGATACTTTGTCTACTTATGGAAAAAGAGGAATTAATCGAATAATTTAGAGAGATGTTAAAAAATGCCTGTTATGGATTTTTTTTTTTTTTTTGTGGCCTGCTATGGGTTTAGCTAATATAGATTAAATCACATCAATAATTAATTAATTTAGATGAAAATAGCGTATGCTTTCGCTTCATTTATAAGTGTTTATGGGTACAGATTGGAATTTTTGAGTTGAGAAATACGTATTTTCCAAAATACAGTGTACAATACAGTACAATGGTCACATTTCTACAATTGAGAGACTTGTAGAAATATGACCGTAGTAATAGTTTTGTAAAGTTAATAAGAATGTTTGTTTAGGACAATGTGATGAAGTGCACGATAAATATAATATAGTTTCTACGACAGAAACACAAATATTCAAATTGCCATGGCTCGCATATAGCTCTTGATAAATCGTGTCTTTCTTTCCTGAAAGAGAAAAATACATATATTTTAGTGAGCGAATGCAACACAACATTTTAAGTAATGGCAATAACTTAACTGTTATTAACGTAAAAATAAATAAATATTTATTTTTATATTGCGTAATTTTTAACTTATGATCAAAAATGTAAGAAAAGTACAATCCACCCAAATATATTTTAAACGAAAAATCTGAAATAATTACAATTAAAGGTATATATGAATATTACAGAATAAATAAAACGATATTTCAATCTAACACCCTTTTTGGAAATGTGGTTATTAAGAGTCAAACAATTGTTACTACACAATAAGAAAGAAAGAAAGAAACTTTATTCTACAGAGATAAGTTAATATATTGATCGATCACAAGCATTTTCACGAGTCACGTAGGTAATTGTATTAGCCGCATAGTAAACGCGCGGCCTCAAGGCGTCCAGCAAGCGAGAGAATGGTGAAAGAGAAGGTGATGCTGCATGGTGAACCGAACATTCGGGCTTCCAACTAGAATCTAATTATAAATATGCGCTACAACAAATAATACTTTAGTGAGCCGCCACAAGAAATTATCAGACACCTCCTAAAACACATTTTGTTATACGGCCTAATTTTTAATTACAATTATGACCTAACATACAAGATTATTAATACAGGATGTCTCAAAAGAAAGGTGACATTAGTTTTGGTTATTGCGTGAACGCAACTATTCTGAGGGGCGCGGGGGGTATGTCATTCGGTAGCCTAGCTTCTGGGAATTTAGCCGCTATGGAGCGTTTCTTGGCTTGGTAAATGAGTCAAAAAGTTTGAAGAGACCGGTTCAATGCTGGACAAATCATAATCCGGACGTCCAAGGTCTTCGAGAACGGTTGAAAACATAGACAGTGTTTCTCAATCTGTTCGTGACAACCCAGACCTTTCGATTCGGAAGCATGCTGATGCCTTAAACGTGCATAGATCGTCGTTATTTTACACAAAGATTTAAAGCTGTACCCCTACAAAATTCAATTAATGCAAAAATTAAAGCCTCAGGATGCTGGGCAGAGGCTTAACTTCGTAAATCAGATGATTAAACGCTTTTCAACGTTTACCAACATATTCTTTTTGGATGAAGCTAATTTCCATCTCAATGGATATGTAAACAAATAAAATTGCCGATACTGGAGTGCAACTAATCCAAAACACAAACATCAGAAACCCCACAAACATTCGCCTAAAATTACCGTATGGGCTGCAATGTCGGCGCGAGGGATTATCGGCCCTTACTTTTTTGAAGATGAAAGGGGACGCACAGTTACAGTTAACTCGGATCGTTATGTGGAGATGTGAGACAACTTCTTCGTGCCTGAACTACAAAATTTTCCTGCTTATAACCAAAGAACATGGTTCCAGCAGGACGGAGCAACTTTACACACGTCCAACAGGTCTTTACCACGAGTTCGTGAAATTTTTCCTGGCAAATTGATATCCAGGAGAGGTGACATAAATTGGCCTCCACGAAGTCCCAATTTAATCCCTATGGACTTTTTCCTGTGGGGTTACGTCAAATCTAAAGTTTATGCCAACAAACCGACTTCCTTGGCACAATTAAAAGGAAATATCCGTCACGAAAAAGCATCCGTCACGTCAAATCTAAAAACGTTTATGCTATCACAAACCGTGTATTTTAATATGTAATAAACATTTTTTTAATAAACTCCTTGTCTTTCTTTTGCACAAAAAAACCTTAAAAATTAGTAAAGTAAATATCCGAGGAGGCTGTTACCTTTCAAAATTTCGTAGGATTGTCATGATTTATATACGTGAATGTTACAGGAAAATAAAATTATGTTTTTAACAAATCACAGGTTTTGAAAGTTTACAAAAAACTTCAATCAAAAAATAGATCGTCATTACAAAAATTTCTGTATCTTTTATATGTAGCTATTGTTGTTAGGATCCTGTCGCTTGTTCCAATACATATACAATACATTAATGTTTTAATTGAATTATTATTAGTCATTGTTACTATATCATCATCTTCCTACCCTTATCTCAATTATTGTATGGGGTCGGCGTAATATGTTTTTATTTATATTACAAAAAGATTTGGCTTTTAGTTTTACGACCGGCTGCCTGCCCGACATCAACCCTTTTTGGGAAAGTCATTGTTACTATATATATCAATAAATTTTAAAGTAGCTGCATTTAAGTCTTTTTCTTTGTATATTATGTCAAAATTATAGTTTTTACATACTGATATAGGTATTCCTATATTAAGTTTAGATTTTATTATGTTTATTATATGTATATTGGTTTAATTTTTGTTATTTTGATTTCGATTCAAAATAAAATGGACAGATGATCTGTGATAGTTGTGTTAAGTGTGAATGTATGTGATTTTATTTTTAATATCACATGATCAAGGCATATGTTGATCCTTGTTGGAGTATTTATAACGGGAAGAAGTCCATGAAATGCTAGAATATATAAATAGAAGTAAATATAAATAGTTTCAAGGAATGAATACGAAATGTTTTATATTTGATTTTAATTCTTATGTATATAAAAAATTTAACTTTGTATAAATAAAAGTTACAGACGTAGTTTGCACGATATTTTTTTTTTATATGTCTGGTCACTAATAATAAAAGTAAAGCTTTTGTACGCACACATACCTATCACGGGATCGACAGATATCTTGGTTCATTCATAAATCTATGCTAGCGGCTATTATCAGTAACCATAATTAATTTGTCCATTAATTAATTTATTTTTGTTCAGTGTTTTATTTAACAACGTGTTACTAAATTCGAATATATAATATCGAATAAATAATTAAGTGTTTTTACAACAAATGTGTCTATATAGAAGTTGTTTCAGAAATTTTAGCTTTAGAATTTGTGTAATTTGATGTCAAATGTCAAGAAGTCATTCGCAGTCGGAATTCGATCGCGGAACCAGCAACTCAACTATGAAAACACAGTCATTACCACTCGACCAATCGAACCTTAACAGACTTTTGAAATTTATGTAGTATAGCTTAACAAATAAATATTGTTCATTGCAATTTTTCAATAAATTTGCTTAAACCTTCACAAAAATATTAAAAAGTATGTATCAAATTGTAATGTTATTTATCTAATACATTGATTATTTTTACTTGTAATTGATATAATAGTAATTTATTTTCGAGTTATATTCACTCACAGATATATAATATAAGGCGAATATATTTCTGTATAACAATGTATCCAAAATAAAACTTATTGTGCTTAATAGAGCCATTATTATTACCTACATTCAATATACCGGATCAGCGATTAATGCTTTACAAATCGCAAATCCATATACAGTTATAATATAAAAAGTATAATTAAAGATTGTGTCTTACAAAAAATCGATTTTCGATTCTTTTGTCGGATAGAATAACAAGAAAGACATTCTTCCGATTTAAATAAAAATAAAAAAGACATATTGAAAACTTCTTCCTTATTAAAAAATGTAGCAAAACCAAAGCAGTTACTCACCAGTTTTAAACAAAGCCATTTCCCTCTGTAATATTCAACAAAATTTCTGTTCACATCTTTCATATTATATTAAATTTTCTTTGCAAATTAACGATGGAACTGTAGCGCACTAGTAGCGAGCTTGGATATTCCCGCTCTCGCAATTCGTGTCTAACGAACTTTCGGATGTAGATGGTGACGGATGGCAAAATAAATCCTTAAGAAAGCGCCATATCAAGCGCCACAGTGAAAATCTGTTTTGATTTTGTTGATTATATTGCGGGACTACAGTGTACGGGGTAAAATCGAAGTACATTGATACTGATGGTGAAGTTGAAGCTGGAGGCGCGTTAGTATCTTTTGAAGGTTCACAATGAGAGCTGGAGTTTAATAATTGGTTCTGCGAGTTTTCTCCTACATCGTTGTTTCCGTGTGGTCTCGTATCCTGTCGTACAGGAGAAATATGGCTTTGAAAATCATTTGCATCCTCGTAGAATGAGCCTATTTCGTTTAGAGAATTGTTATCTGAAGATGGTTTTAGAGAGTCGCTCATTGTGATAAATAGCTACTATTTGTCTGTTGTAGTGAAGTTGTCTGTAAAAAAAAAAGAAAATGATATGTTAATAGTAATATCAAAATGTAAAAAGGCTTTATTATTACGATTATAAACACAAGTAGAGACAATGTGCCGGTTTGCCGACCATCACTGGTTCTCAAGTCACCTGCCAAGCGTGGCAACTACCGGCAAAACCCTCCTAGGGGAAGCTTCTGTTCAACAGTGGACAGTGAAAAGCTGATATGATAATAAATATATTTTTCTCACGAAAATGATTTTTTAAAGATCACAAGTGCATCAACTGGCACATTTACCCTGTTTATTACTTCGCAAAAAAGATACTCCGATCGAGAATGCATCGATAAATAACGAGATGTTTTGTAGATATCCTACATTGTATGTAAGCAAAATTTATAAAACAAGCAAATTTTATTACTCCATATTGACAATTTCTATCAATCTCAATTTAAAATAGAACCAATAAGAGACTCAATGTTGTCGATTGAGTAAAAATAAAATATATAAATCGATTCAATTAAGCACGTTAAAATCGTCATAAAAAAATCATATGAATTCAAAACCACCTTCTTTTGAAAGTAAATTTATTAATACTTTATAGTCTTCGTTACTGAATTAAAGGGACAGTGAGTTCAAATCTAAAAAGTACTGTACTGGATTAGATTCACTAGAAGACGTTGTAAGCGCTTGCGTAAAGTATAAATTCAAAACGTCTAGTCCCACGGTGAGACAGCGGTAACGTCACCATTTCCATCAACAGGCATATAATAGTTAAAAAATGGAGTACCAACATTTTAGATTATAATTATTATTTTAGACGATTGAAATCTCTCTGTTTAGTGAGCGATAGCCTCATGATCCACTGACTTGAGATTTCTATCAGATAAAAAAGTTTCGGTTCGGTATTCATCAAAAATTGGACCCCAAGTAGCCTTTTTTTTATTGGAATATAGTCTAAGTTTAGATTGATCAATTCAGATGAGTTATTTTTAATTTTATCCAGATAGCAGAGATTTTTAATTATGTGCCATTGCTTTTTGAGGTTATTATTATATTTATATAATTGTTGTCTATAATATAGTTGTTTTTGTTTTTTTAAGAGGTTATTGCATGTATTTCGATATCTACTATAAGTTATTTTGAGAATCATATTATAAGGGTCTTTTTTTAATTTTTGTTGTAAATTATTACGATTTCGTTTTGCATCGTATCAACCCTGGAGTATCCAGGGTTTAATAATTCTTTTCTTCCTAGATATTTTGTAAACTAGTCTTCGTTTATTTCTGAAATAAAAATATTTGTAGCCATATTTACATCGTCAGTCAAAATTTGTTGCCAATCAATGAATTGCAACTCTTTAATTCTTCTTCATAGTTTACTTTAGTAATTGTAGTATTTTATTCTTTCTTGAAATTTGTGTTTTTAATGTTGTTAATATACTACAATGAATCAGTTATTGAGGTATTACAAACCATATAGTTTTCACAAAACAGTTCTAAGCAATTTTTATCACGAGTAGGTAGCACGTGTGATGGAAGCAAACCATATAAATTCAAATAATCGTTTTAGTGCTGTTATTTTCGGTTTTATATCAATATTTATATCGTAAGAGTAATATATTTGCATGTTGTTTTAATTTTGTGAGGACTTTATCCAGTGACTTCAAGAAATTTTCAGTATTTTGATAGGATGGAGGTCTATATACACAAATAATAGCAAAATTATTTTGGATATATATATATATCTGTGACGCTTATTAAGTCGTCTTTAACGAAAGCAACTACACCATCATTCTGATTTAAATGGTTTTGTGTAAAATATGAGCTATAGGTCGATTTTTGGTATAATAGAATCTTTGTTCAACCAACACTCAGTTAGAATAATTATATCTTGTTTTCTAGTAAAACAGGTTTATCAAAATTTTTATTGATGCTACGTATATTTTGTGTACTATAAGAGCGTTTTCATATAAGACGTACAATATCAACAATCATTGCACTTCCGACATTTATAAGTCAATGTCATCTAATTGTATTATTCATTATATTTAAAGTCAATAATCTTTAATGAACATAAGGAAGTACAATATTGAATCTTCAGATAAGCATTGATGAGAGCTTTACTTGTGTGTGGTATATAAATGTAAATAAAATGTGGATATAATATGTACGTATGTAAATGTAACTGTTGAACTATTTGTGTATGAGTATTGTTAAAATGTAAACTTTAATGCAGTATCCATAAAAAATAATCTGAAATTAACAAAGTAAAGTATAAAATAAAAATAAATGTAACAGTATATAGTATTATGATTAAGAATATCAGAGCATAGTCAATTTTGTAAGCCTGGTAAATCCATTTTTAATGCCTCAATTTGGGTTAACATTTTGACATTCTTTTTTGATAAATACTTACCATGTTTTATCCAATCAAAATTTGAATCCGTGGTTTTTCTTCAATTCTGGCCTGATAGTGAAAACCTCGTACGAAGTGAGGAGTTCCGATATAAAAAGTGGTCGTTTTTATTCCTTTTAATCCTAATGTTAAAATAAATTTAGTTTTTATCCTCAATCCATATTATATTTATATTATACAGCTGCTAAAATTTCTTCACGTGCTTTTATAGTCTGATATTGAACAATTATATTATGCTGATTTTTCCCAACTTTTTTTAAGGAGATTTGCCGTACTTCACTATCATTTAGTGTAATCTTTAAGGAATCTTGTATTTTTTTAACAATTTATGGGAGTTCCTGATGCTCAATTATATTAACATTGCGTATTTCAATTGAAGTATTTTCTAATGTATCTTCCAAATTCTGTATTCTCTTTAACATTATTTCATGATCTCTAACGACAGAGATCACTTTGTTACGATCATTATGTGAAGCCGTTATTACTTCAATTTTTCTCAATTCCTCTCTGTGCCTTTACTATAGTTCTGTTTTGTTCTTTTATTTCTTCCAAAGATTTATGTAGTTGACTATACATACAATCCTGGTTTTTATTCATATTAGACACCATCATAATTAACTCATCGCGAAGTTCAAGTCTGTCAATGTCATCACGTTCTTTGCGTATGTGATAGATGCTTTCTCAAAGATACAAAAGCATTGTCCGTTAGATTAAATAAATCGGATTGTGATGAAGATCTTCTTTCGGGAGGCGAACGTTGAACGGACATGTTTTGTCTTAACTCGTAGCATATACTTTATAGCACTTGACGTCAAAGTATTTTTTAGTTAAAGATTATATTAAAGCTGCAATCAATTATCGACACAACACTGGAATAATTAGGTTAAATTCTTTGTAGTGATTTTTAAATTTATATTAATTTTACGGGACGCAACTGCTCACTACAAGAGCCGGACGATGAATGTTAATAATATTAATACTATTTTCCAAAGTTGTGCATCCTATCAGTTTGCCGACGATACTTGCCTACTTATTTCAGGCAAAGATATAAAAGAAATTACTAAATTGTTGCAGAATTACTTCGATAGGTCAACTATGTGGTGCCAAGACATGGGACTTGTACTGAATAATAAGAAAACTAAATTAATGCATCTAAAATCTCCGTATCTAAAGTGCACTTTTAATTATTTATTTAAACTTTAATGCACAGTAAAATTCTACGTACATTTGGCGGATTTAACACCGGACGGTGTTCTTTATCAGTCAACCATTGGGCAAACCGAGAAATACGTAAGCGGTGCATTTTTGAATAGAGAAAAAAAATAAAGCAATATTTCATAAATTAATATAATATAAACATCTATTTATCTATCCTATTTAAGAGCTGCGCTTTTGTCGATGGAGCTCTTGCCACTCACTACGATTTTCAGCGAGTCTCTTCACCTCTTGATATGACACGACACCAACTCCTTCCTTGATCTGCCTGATGTACATAACTATGTCTCGGTCTCCCTCTTCCCCTCCTTCCTTCTATCTTACTTTCTATTATAATGTTCATAAGTTCGTCGTGTCGTATCAAGTGTCCCATCATTTTTCCCCTTCTGTCCTCAATAGTTCTAATAATTTGTCTCTTTTTCTTAACCCTAAACAGGACCTCCTAATATAAACATACATATGATATATTAAATAAATAAATATATACATACAATAAATACTTACATACATAAAATATTACTATATAAAACAAATAATATTTTATTCCGAAATTAGTGGCCCATACTCATTCCTGTTTACATACTAATATAGAAACTTGTGGTTAATGTCCGGGTATTGAGCTGATCGATACAGATACGTACTTAGGTCTACTTATTGATAAAAAATTTACATGGAGTCCACATATTGAAAGGGTTTGCGGTACGCTTCGAGCGATTCTAGCCAAATTTTATATTAAATTAACCGAATAACTTTAAGAATTAGATTACTATTATATAACGCTCTGTTTGACTCGATAGTTAGTGGGCTATCCATCTATGGGCGTACTTTTATACTCAGAATATTAAAATTAATTATCCCGCCTAATCATCATCTTCCTACCCTTATCCCAATCATTATTTGGGGTCGGCGTAATATGTTTTTATCCATATTACAAAAAGATTTGGCTTATAGTTTTACGACCGGTCGCCTGCCTGACGTCAACCCTATTTGGGAAATCCCGCCTAATATCAAATCAAATTTCACAAGTGACTTTAAGTTGTTTGAGTATTGTCGAACTCTGCCTATTCGTGAAATTCTAAAATATTGTCTCCTAAAAGAACAGGACTCTCTTTAACCACTCTTTAAATAGGAAAATCTAACAAAAATAAATATAGCTATATATATATACACGCTCCGCCACGTAAAACAAGCTAGCCAGTACTCGAGCAAAAAACTACTATGGCGAGCGAACCAGCGCATAT